CAATGCTTTGCAGAGTCTTAAAGAGCAGCACGTTAAGACACACACCGTCATGATGGAAATATATGCGTCGTACGTCATCTTGTTGAACTCTAAGCTGGCAATGATCCATCGCTTCGTGGCCAGCGACGTGGCTTTCGTAACAACCTGCATCGAAAATGGTCAGTACTTCTGCATCGTCACACAGCACTGTGAGAAGAACGACGGGAGCGAGTGTTTCGTGTTCGCCATAGACCCCGGGTTACAAATGCACTCGTTCCATTACGGTTATGCCAAGAAGTTCGGGATTCGTTGTCATGCGGGGGTGATCCCGAATGGCGTAGGCTGCAACAGCGGTTGTTCCGCGTTTCCCTCTTGTTCACGTCCAGTTGTACGTGCCCTGTCGTCCGTCCTCAAACCCAAAATTGACCATGGTCCATCGATGACCAGTCGTGGCGGTGGCGAGGCTCTCACGGACAGGAAACGCATTAGACATAGCTGCGTCAGCAGCAATAGCGACAGCGGCATTAGCAACGCTAAAGACGACGAGCCCCATTCCTGTTCCACCTGCGAACTCGCTTCCGTGAGGTAAGCTCCAAATGGATGGCAGGCATGTTGCCCACTAATCTCATACTTGCGTGTTTATAGCGGCAGCTCCTGTAGTACTGTCGGCGGTTTGCAGCAGTTTTCGCTGTTTCCTCGTAATAAAAATGCGACGATGACTCTGGTGACGACGAAACAAAAGTTTGGAACGATCGATGGTGATTTTGCCAACATATCTGAAAGGTCATACAGCGACCCAAACTTGTTCGTGAAATCCAGGGCCCCTCTCTCTGGTGTTAGAAAGATCTACAAAAGCATGGACGACAATAAGGTAAAATATAATTTTCCACTGTAACACCCAGCCCGATTTGTGCTGGTTTGGCGATGTATGTGTACTGTTTTTATGAATGTTTGATTGTAGTATATGACGTGGCATTTGCGAACTGTTTCAAAGTCCGAACCGAGCCTTGTGTGGCTAGAAAAGTGATTGTGATAGATCATTAAAATCAAAAGATGCCTATTGCGAGAAGCGGTTTGGATAAAAACCACGTTAACTGTGCCTGTGTTATTTTCTGAATAAGTTTCACTAAGCGCGAGTAGGTGAGAGGATAATGATAAAATGCAATACAGTTGATTTGTTGATTAATAGCCAATACCGACGTTTCATTTCGATCTGAATCACCCAGATCTTCTTCAAGGAGAGTTTGGTTGTTTATTAGTAACGATGTGATTTTCTGTAACAGCTGATTCGTAGTAATGCAATGGTGATCTGAATGTTCAGTATCATGATTTTGTAAGGTGTTTAAAATATTTTAAAGAAAACCACGAGCGTCAGAAATCAACAAGGGGTAAGAACGTATGTCCGTAGCAACAAAAGTTTCTTCTAAAGAGATTGAAGGCTATGAGCTTTATAAATTGACTTACTGCAGCAAGCAGTAAATTAGATAGAACCTCCAGGAGAGATCTCTGCGTTTACGCTAATTTGTTGCCAACTCCAAAACTAAGTCTCACGATAGTGACAGCTCCCGTACAGACATGGTAATATGCTTCTATGCTTGAATGTGTTAGATAAAGCATGACTCCTCCAAAACCAGATGTCACTGCAGATTGCACCGCACCTTGGTCCAAGTTGTCTCGGGCGCATTTAAGCAGACCATGATTCCATGGTGTTGGAGTGGGTACAAAGCCAGATGCATTTCTCACTGCTTTGTTCGTTAAGTTTTTTTTCGCTGATTTCGAATGATGTTTCAAGAGCTGGTATTACTTATATGCTACCGCGCATAGACACGATAGTATATTCGAATGTCGCCGTATGACAGATATGACAGATAACGCATAACTTTTTCAAGACCAAATTTGTCAGACTTAACTCTAGTGAACAAAATGATGCCAGATGCATCTGACATTGCATGTGCTCAAATGCCATGGATCCTCATTACCATGGTATTTTAAATTCTCCCAGGCAGCTAGGAGTAAGGGATCAACGTAGCAGTGCAGTACGGCTCGAAATCTGGTCT